AGTTTTGCCCAGAATGGTAACACCCTGCCGGAGCTGCCCATCACGTGCAGCATGCATGAGAACCGGAGGCAAGAGTGTTCAGGTGTTTCACAGAGGGTTGAAGTAGCCTTCATATTGTAGGCTGCGTCAATTCTTTGTCCACAGCTGAACCTCATGCTGGAAATAGATGATATAGGCATTTGCTCACTCCCCAAACTCATCATGGCGACGTGGCACATGATGGCACCTGACGTGGATGGCCATTTTCCCATCCACGTCAGCATTCAGACTAGGCTCGAGAGCCCGAAGGTCCTCACTTCAGACCACCAGAGGGGTTCACGGTCCACCGGTCGAATCTGGATACTGCGGCGGTCCTCCGCGGTTGTGGTGAAAACCGGTGGTGTGAGGGTCCAAGGATGCCCGATCCGACTGCCCCACGGTTGAGGAAGTTTCACGAAGGAAGACATGGTTGGTCCCAGTCTCTGAGTTGGTGTTTTTCACCGTTTTCGAGCCGGAACAGCTCGACAAATGCACCCACGACAGAAGGAAGACACAAGACTACGGTAATTTTTAACCCGCTCAAAGTCCCTCAAAACGAGAAATACATGACCATGTTCCTCAGGCCAGTTCAAACCAACAGTGAACTATAGCTTGCTTGCGGTTCAATCTGAACAGTTTGAGCCCTGGATGCCAGGGTGCCATGTTCAAGATCTTCAGTGAGTCCCAGAGCCTTGGAGATGCAGATGATCCGCGTCGTAGAGGGTCGAAGATATCGAACGACCCAGCCGGCTGGTGAAGACCAAGGTCTCCTCGTGCTCAACAGCTCTTGGCAGAAGGGAAATGGTCAGGTCTCAAATCACAAAAGGAAGAGCCCTCTTCACCCAACGAAAGCCAACTGGATGCATTTGAGAAAACGGTGGCCGCGCCACGCGCTGGCGGTATGACCTGTTCCCATGGGTGGCTCATGGAGGTTTTCTTGGATCTCCATATCGAGGTCCCCGAAGCATCGGAACGAGTTCTGCATGTATCCATGTCATATGTTAACAGAGCATCTACATTGAGGTGCTTTGAAGGAGATCAACGGTTTTCGGACTATGTTTCCCTCATCTTTCATCTTACCAAGAACATGTTGTCAATTGTTCACCACTTGTGAGGTAAACCGTCAACCCCTTTGGAGCAACACCTCATCAAAACGCCTCAAAGGGCGTATGCCGAACTGAGAACTGGCGAACTTGCCTCGCGTCTCTCAGGGCCTTCAAGTTCCGTATCGAGTACTTCGACATCGTTCTCCACCAGGTACACGGGAAGCGGATTCGACCGGATTCAACGAGACGACTGCCCTGCTCCAAAACCACGAAGACCGGTGAGTTCGACGTAGGAATCGTTGTGTGTAGCAGGACCATCCTATTTGGGTGTCCAATGGACTACGCTATGCTACTTGTAGATGTCCAGACAGGACACCCAGACAGGATGGTCTAGGTATGTTTGGGTGGTTTTCCACCGAGGATTGGGGTCACTCGCGGGCGATGACGCGACCTCAGGGCCACTAAGAGAAAATCAAAACCCGACCCGAAGTGCTGCGAGATGCTGGTCGACCGCCCGAGGCCCCCACGGTCTGACCACGGTCTGACCGGTCGGAGCCGGTGAGGTTTGGTGAGAGATTTTGGTGAAGCAATGAGCTTGGTGCAAGACGGTTTGCATGGCGAATTGCCGCTCCTAGATTCACAAGAACCACCAACATGTAGGCCATATGTCCCACGGAGTGTTTGGGCAAGTGTGCTAGGAACATCGTTGGGTCGGGGATAGCTAGAGCAGAGAGTGGACCCCAGAAACGCTGAAGTCTGGCGGCCATGGAGGTCAGACAGGCTGCTGCATCTGTGCCCGAGGGAAGGCATTTGGTCACTCCAAGCCCACATAATGGTATCCAATCACCTTCTCAGAAGGAATGTGCATCCATAAAAGTTCTCTTGCTATGAACCACCCTCAAAATTGTAAACATGTCATACATGCAGATCTCTTTGATCGTTGAATCTTCAGATGACCCACCAAGCGATTTACCGGATCGACCGGATCTGATTTTGGAGGGCGAAGGAAGAACACCAATTATATCCAATGATCAATCATTATGGTTTAAAGTTTTCATTTAACACATGTTTAAACCGTGCTTTTTGTTTTTCAATGTTCATGGTCCTCCCCAGTTGCATCGATGACACATGTCCGGACTTTGGATGGTCATCTCTGATTGAGAAATCACTCAGTATGAGAGCATCTAACGTCACATGACGCTGTAAAGTAAGGCCTGATTTTGTAGTAACAATGTAGTAACATATTTGATGCAGTTTGGGAAGGGAAGAAGATGTAGATCAGCGAAATGAGCATCCCCACAAAGCAAAACTGCCCCAAACATTCGCATTCACATGCATGCACCCCTTTTTGCGGCTTCTCTCCATCCCTTGCGAAACAGGACGTGGGTTGGTTCGACTTGAAAGAAGTCGCAGCGTTGCCCGCGGAGATCAATGACGATTTGGAGCCACTGGGCAGTCCACTGGGCGGGTCGACCGGACCGGCCCAGCACCAACGTCACGACCCCTGTCCTTCGCAGGACCAGAACGTTCTTACTCCGAACACCGTGGGATCCCAGGACCATGGGACTAGAATAGTTCTACAATGGATGGGTCATAGATGGGGTCAATGTAAGTAGCCATTCCATACAAAGATGGTTTGCGTCCTACCTGCCTGGAAGTGGTAAGAGCACGCTGTGCTTTCGATGGGGCTATTTGCCTTGGGAAAGACCTTTTCACTTGTCTCTCCAAGTGAGTCTCCAAGTGGTCTGGTGTGTGCCTTTTCTTGTTTCCGGTTTTTTCTGGTCCAGAAAAGCACATCTCGAAGAACCGTCATGTCTCGGTCGAGACCACGTCGCCCTGACGCCGGTGGGGGGAGCAGAGGGTAGGCTCTGATGTGCCCACCTGTGAAGCACCTTCACCATACGTCCCCATTACCATCCTTCACCCAGAATTCCACAAGTTGTTCCACAAGTTGTTGCATCTTCCTATATCTTTTAAACCCAGGGCCTCAAGCTGCTGGTGAAGAAAGAACTATCAACATGACAACATGCAATGCCGGAACTATCACGTTCCTTCGGTGGCCGCAGGTGATCTCAACATCGGTTAACAATCACACTCACCCAGTGATTGTTTATCATCCCTCTGGTTTGGATTTGCAACAAAGACTGCAATTGGTTGGGATCTCGCAGTCAATCTCCCTGAATCCTGGGTCCCGCCAGGGTCTCCAACACATCCCCCACCCTCCTTACCAACCAAAACATCTTGCCTCCCGCCTCCCTCTTTCCGGGCCTCCAACCGCTTCCGAACGCGCACGGGTGGAACGAGTTGCGCGGTTCCGCGGCGCCCTCCGCGCGGTTCGCGCGCGCGTCTGCCAGGAAGATCCAGGACGCCTTCGGGGACAAGTTCGGCAACGGCGTCATGGCCTTGAGCGCCTTCCTGGGCGGCTTCGGCTGCGCCTTCGGCATGGGCGCCTCGGTGTGACTGGTGACCGCGGTGTCGGTGTGAGTGGTGAGCGGTGACCAAGATCAGAGGCGGTGGAACACCGAGCACGAGCGGAGGCTATTCTTTTGGGGCGTAGAAGACAGTTCGGTGGTGGAGGGTTTGAACATGCGATTGAGATGGAAGCGAGGAGGACGAGCCTTTTTTATTTTTCACTTTACCCCTCCGACTCAGTTTGGCTCACTAACATGGAAGTGGAACCAGTCCTACACAATCTATCCAGAGTCAAGGCTTCCACTTCCATGTTAAGAAGTGAGTCATGAGTGCAAAACATGGTTTGCTTTTTGGAGTTGAAAGGAAAGCGAAGATGGTTCAACCACCCGCCTTTCGGAGTGCCGGCCGTATGTGTGACGAGTCTTGGCCTTCGACACCGGACCGATGTGTCACATCGCCGTCACCGGCGAAACACACCGGCTTTCTGCCGCCAGTGGCGGTGTGCAGATTTGTGGTGTACAGTGTGACGGGCAGATTCTCGGATGATCGGATGTGCAGATTAAAAGAAGTAACAAGTGCCTCGCTAGTAGTAACAAGTGCCTTACTACTATAGTAACAAAGTTCGCTATTAGGAACAAGTGCCTTACTAGCTATAGTAGTAACAAGAAGCGAGCTCAGGGGTGAGATCGGATGGGCTCTGCTCGATCGGATCAAGATTGAATCAGGGTTGTCTCCCTCGGCAAACATGAGGAGTTTGAGGATGATGGCCGGACACGACCTTCGGGTCCGCACCTACGACCTGTTACCTGAGGGTCTTGCTGGCTGAGGCTGGCTAGTGGCGCTGGTGATGTGTGCCATTCTGCCTTTCATGGGTGTGGGAGCTGCCTTGATGGGCAAGGCCGAGCCATGGGCCGTGGGCCGATGGGAGGACATTCACAGCCAACATCTCGTTCATGTTCGTCTCACCCCAAATCTCCTTCACTTGAAAGTGGGTCAATCCTGGATTCTGGTGGAGATTCGCCACTGACCGACCCTGACCCCCCCACCGACCCCTCGCAGCGCCCTATCGCCGGTCGACCGGTGAAGTCCGACTCCGCACCGCTCCGTGTACACCGTGGCGAACGAATGGCCAGGCGGTGCAGGAAATCCAGCTGGAGTCTCAGAGTTGGTACGCCAAAGCCTCTGCCGTCGTCGAGGAGACCGATTCGGTGTTTTGGCATACGCGTCGTTGTGCTTCGCGTCGTCGTTGGGTCGGTGGCCCGACAGTTGGGTCGAATGGCGATAATGAAGCTGTTGGTGGTGGGATTCATGGCCAGCCTGCAGCAACTCTGGTGGCCACGAAATGTTCAGCGAAACTTTGGAAGAGCTTGCAAAAACAGGAACAAGGCGCCCTGTTCCTCTTTTTCGTCTTCTTCCAGTCGCAACCCCCCTCCAGGTCCAGTCGCCACCCTCCTCCCCAAAACCAGTCAGCGCCAACGCTGCGCCACCGCTGCGCCGTTCTGCCGCCAGGAGTGCTTGTTCGCCATGCGCACGGTGGTGGCCTTCGGTGGCGAACACAAGGAGTTGCAACGCTTCAGCCAGGCGCTCGTGCAGGCGCGCCGCGGCGGAGCGCCTTGGCAGCCCAGTGCTGGGACCCTGGGTGCGTTGGGTGGGTCGATCTGGTGGGGTAGATGGTAGGTGGGTGGGGATTTGGGAGAAGGACAGGGGAGGGATTCCCGAAACATCTTCGATGTGATGTCTGGCATGATCTCTTTTCTTCGCAAAAAGAGAACCTGACTGATTCACAGTGACTCTACAGACGTGCATTCAGAGTCCTTTCTTTTTCGTTGCACCACCGGTTGACCTCGTTCCCCTCGCCGTGCGCCCTGGGATGCGTCCCCTTCGCCGGCTCCGGATGCCCGAGGTTCGCAACGGCTTCAAGATCGGCGCTGGCATGGGCTACACCATGCCGCCTGGTGGAGTCAGAGGATGTCGGAGGTCGGTGAAAGGTCAGTGAAGGCTTGAAGGGAACATGAAAGCGAAGGGACGGACCTGCTGCATCGTCCTGCGGTCTGAAACACCTGATCCGAAGGACTTATATATCTTTTTTCGGGTACAAGGGCACAAGGGTGTCACTTGGACCTGTACAAGGTAGCTCTGGGAGAAACCACATTGCACCCAAAAAGGAAACTAAACCCAAAGAGGATTCGCATGTTTGGATAAACTTTGCGGAAAGGAACCACATGGACAAACCCATGAAACACCTCAGGATGGTGGTCTTCTAGGGCTATGCCTTGGCCTTTTGGTTCGGCATGACTTTGCGCTACCACGAAGAGAAGAACCCGGCCACTGGCGAGGCCGGAGCTGCATGCACAAGAAGAGAGCCTGGATTTGTCCAATCTTAAAGCCTAGATGCTTGTGAAGCCCACATGTTACATCATGTTACTTTGTCTATTCAGGAAACACACTCTTCACAAACTCATTTCGAGGTCGTTCAGGCTTCGTTAGCCTTTGGTGGTAACCTTAGGTTTCCCCAAAGCCACACAGCCCTCTTAGCACCCCTTTGGAAACACAGCAATATGTGGTCGACTGTGCTACGCAATTACATTTGCAAACGATACATGCGTGCCTTCACTGTGCAGATAAGGGGCCTGGCAGAAAGAGCATCCTGCCAGCCAGCCTTCCTCTCACAGATCTTTTCCGATGTGAGGAGTGGCAGCCTGGAACCATCTTGGCCATTTTCTTCTGCATTTTCATTGGCAGTTTCATGATTGGTCCCGCACTTAGAGGCATGTCCACGGCTCCACTGGGAAAGCCCCATGGCCCAAACACACGGCAGCCGAACACCGCCGGACTCATCGGGGCATGGACCCCCCGGGCCGTTTAGAGGATCCGGTCTCCAAATACAACCATCCTGCAGTATATAGAATAGATGGAATATTAACAATCCAATCCACAAAAAGAGGCCATGCTTCCATATATGTTTCCTATTGTTTTTGGGATGTTAAACGATTTTATCTGCTCCAGGAGTCTTCCTCTAACTGTCCACAAGGTACTGAGACCCTCCAACCTTTTGTCTCCCAAGCGTACCGTTTGTAGAACGGAAAGGGTCAGAAAGGTGGGAAGTGGGGGCATGCCGGACATCCGATGTTTGTCTTGGTCTCCGGTCCGGTGTTTTTGAAGCCATTCCTGTGATGAGACCAACCCACTTCAAACCAACACGCATGTCAAAGTGCTGAAACAAGGTGAAACAAGATGAACGAATGGGGTACTCGAGGTCATTATACAACCCCTCAAATAGATAGACGAGTAAAATCACCAGTAAAGATGTCTTGGACACCGTGCCACTATCTATTTGGGGATCACTATAAGGGAGGATGTAATATTTGGACACCGTTTCTGCAAATCCAGATAAACCACTTCTTGGAGCTGGGAGCTCCCTCTCGTCCCTATAGACGACGCTCCAAGGGGCTGCAGGGCCTATATGGCCCTCCTGACTGCTGGTTCTTGGTGGTCAATGGCCATATTCGTGAAATACTGGGTACCATAACATCATCGTTCATATTCCTTCATGGTCTCAAGTCTTGGGATTTTCCCAGACTGTTTGAAGGTTTGAACCACCACGGAAAAGCCGATCTGCTGCTTCCGCGCTGTCTCCGGCTCGGGAAGCTTAAGACCCTCCTATACATGGGGCTCCTCGGCGAAGCCGTAGCCCGTGGGGGGGTCCGTAGGAGAACTGGCCATGGATCAAGAAAGAACATCATGGGTCAAAATGGATCAGAGCTCCAACCTCCCTTGACCCAAATGGACTTGTCCAAGTTAGGGATCAGAGGATCCTCTTATTTTTGTATAGTCCCAGCTCGTTACACAAAACGCATGTCCATTCCTCGGACGGGCGAGTCCACTTGCGTTGGAACGTCCTCGACAGGAACATAGAATTTACACATGACTTACAATAGCTGGGCCCACCTTCTTGTGGCGTGACGTCCTTGAAAAGCGTCGCGCCGTCTCCGCGGCTGTTGGCCGGAAAAGTTCCTCTCGGCGGTGTGGAAATCCGCCGCCGGTGGCCCCGATGGTCGTGCTCGCCAGCGATGAGTTCAGGCGGAGCGACGAGTGAGGAACGGGGGAAGTCTGGTCTGTTGGCTGCAGGGCCAACCACGGGGCACATGCCATGGGATGAAGTGGGGATACATTCAAGGTGCCAAGGTTTTTTGGGAAAAGGTTGAGGCTATGAGTCCCAAGGCGTGTCTCACATGTTTGGGTTTCCTTCCATCTCAATGACCTACTTGACTCCGTAGACTTCAATGGGCCCATTGAAGTATACCTGGACCCTAATTATCAAAAACAGGTACCTGTACAATACCTGGACCCATTTTCTGAGGTACGACATGGTATCTGGTCAACTCCAGGTACCTTGAAAGACCCTTTCGAGGCAAACCACGGCCCAGAGCCCAACGCCCCAAGGCATGCCCTTCATTCGCCGGCCGACTGCGTCGCAGATCCGGCGGCATCGATCCATTGTTCCAGTTCGGCGTTCATCGACTGAGTCAACCTATAGATATATCCATCGAAGCTCCAGGAGATCGATCACTGACCTTGGGGTAGCGCACCAAAACGATTTTCGCTCTGACTAGACTTCAGAGGTTTCCACTTGACGATGAGCCTGCAGTCGACAGGTCAGTGGGGTCGTAGAATTCCATTGCCAAATCGAGGTGGAATACCAGGCAGCTTGACCCACCACATCCCACCCATTTGCTTTCCTTTGCACCAAAAAACAGATCTCAAGGCGGTTTTCGTGCAGTTCGTGCGGATGTGAGTTCAAACAAACCTACTAGTAATGGCTTCCAACCATCTCCAACCTATGAGCGACGGCCTCCAACCTACTAGTGATGGCCTCCAACCTAGTAGCAATGGCCTCCGCGGCAATATACGCGCCCTTCACATCTTCCACTCCAGCCAGGCCGTCAGTGACAGGGAAGTCCTCCACCATCGTGCCGACGCCGGATCCCTCGACCCGCACTAGCTCCTCGGAATGCCTCGGGATGTCTCGGTTGGCAGTGGAAGGCTTTGTTCGGAACGGCCTTCCGCCCCTTAGTTATACACCTGGTGATGGCAGTATATGTGATAGTCTCAAGTCGACTGGCCGAACAGTGTGGAACCAGGTGGAACCCCATCTACAACGTCCCTCCAAGCCAAATATCTTAAAGCCTTAGCTGTCTGGTTACTTACGTTTTGTGCGTTCGAACCTTGCGTTTTTAACACTAACGTTTCGACCCGTACGTTCCCACGTTTTGGAGCTCAGGTGCGTTTTTGGAACTTCCTCATGCATAAACAGACGAAGGCCATCGAACACAGAAACATCCCAAATGCATTTTCAAGAGCCAGAAAAACGCATCCAGTAGCACCCCATAGCCCATAGCTTGGACACAAACAATTCCCAAATGCATTTCCAAAAGTGACAGAAAAGCATCGAGCAGTACCCCATAGTGTCTTTTTGTTGACAGACAAACATATTTCCGCAAAGTGGACCTCCAGACCACACAGATGCATTTAGCCGAGGACAATGCACATAGGTATTTGGATGGGGCCTGGATTTTAAGGAGGGAGCTGTACAGTTTGGATTACACGTGCGGAACCTTACGTTTTACGTTTTGCGCACCGGGGCGCCTATAAGTTTAAAGCCAATCTCAGGTACATGAAAAGGTCTCATCGCCCAGGTGATTCGACGATGTCGCCGCCCATCGAGTTGCACGTGCCACTCCTGGGCCGCCGCTTGGAACGATGGAGACGATGGACCTGAGAGGCTGAGAGGTCCGACCACCGAGCAGCAGCGAGCATGGATCAGTTGGATCATTTGTGCCGGCAACTGTAACTGCTTGTTCTTTTGGGGGGAGGCGGTTAGGTTTTCAGGAGTGTAGGCACCAATCAAGAAATGGACACCAATCTATTTGATGCTTGCAACCTAAGCAATCTTTGGTGAAGATTGAGATTTCTCCTTCTCACCTCAGCTAGCATGAGAGGTGTTCTCCTGCCTCCTGTTGGTCTCACCTCAGTCTTTGAAGATTGAAGGTTCTCCTCTTACCTCAGCTGGTCGTGAAGTGTGGTGACCTGCCGGATCCTAAAAAACTATGTTCCGAACCAATAAAAAGGATCGAACATATAATTTTCAAGGCCCAGTGATTGGTCAAGGCTTCCATGTAACATGTTTATGTGGGGTCTGTCCTACTACCTGTAACAGTCAGTAAACAATTATCACTATGTTTGAACAAGGCCTTTCCTAGCCATCATCATCCACTGTTACAGGATGTTACAGGTATTAGGATAGACCCAATGTGTATGATTGAGATATCCAATTTTTCTTCCTGCTTAGGCCGTTTCACCCTGATTTCTCTCAATGATGTTCTACTTGGAGGAAACATACATTCCTTTTGGGATGCAAACCATGGCAACGCTGAAACATACACCATATCTCAGCGTGCTTTTCCAGGTGTTTTGAAGATTGTGGAAAACTGCTGAACACTCTTTTCCCGGCAGCGCATGGATTTCGTTCTGCTTCGACCGATCCGCCTTGCGTGTGAGGCACCTTGTTGGCTTCGTCCATGGGTGCTGGCTTTCTCTTCATCGGCCTAGTTGTGGCTCGGCTTGAAGCTCGCCCTGCGGTCTTTTTCCCCAAAAAGCTTAAGGAAGAAGGGGGCTTGGTGTGAGTAGTACTAGACAGTTGCATCCTTCCCAAATCTGGCAATCGGAGCATGACCCCATCGGGTTTTGGATGGGTTTTGCATGGTGATATTTCTGTGACTGCCTTTCACGCCAGCTGGATGATTTCGCGCAAGTTGGTTTTCAGACAGAAAACATATAAGTAACCCTAGTGCAGGTAGGTACTTCTCGGATTGAGAGGTTTTCTTCTTACCCTCAGTGGGCAACCTTTAATCTTTTTTCCCTCCAGGGGGGGCAGGGCGCACCAAAAAATCAAAGGACAACATGGAATGTTG